ATTCTACAGCATCCTCGCCTGCTTCCTCATCCAGTCACCTTCCTTCCCTCTTTCCCTCCACTCTCCAGAACGCGACTGCCCGTTTTTTTGACATCCGTCACCGCATCACCCCAGCCACTTGCCCTCCTGTGTCCTCCACAACCGTTGCAGCCAATCATCCAATCAAGCCACACAACGTTCGACCCACCAGCCACCACCCGCACGTTTCCCTGACGTTTGCTGTGCGACTTCAACGGCCCTTCGCGCCTTTTCGACTTCTCAAGCCACGCTATTGTTTCTTTCCGCGAATCAAGGAAACTCTCATACACCGTTGTGCATTCTCATCTGCATGTCGGTGGCCACGCCGCATGGCCAAGGTAAGGTAAAGTAATCGTGCCTTTTGTCATACCTAATCTGTGCTGCTTGACAATTCACCTCACCCCCGAATCTCAATTCCCTGATTTTCCGTCAAGCCTTGCTTTCAGGCCGCAACCCAACGGCCACAGCTGAGCCCGAGTCTGTTCTTCCCCCCTCCATTCTCCAGTGTTGCGTTCCATTCTTCTGGCTCCGTTCACAAACTCAGAGGAGTAGTGCACGGAGTAGATTAGCCTCGCAGACAGCCCAGCTATCCGCAGTCCCCGAACAACCTACGCCGACGAGCCCCATGCCAAGTCCGGCACTAAACCTGCATGTCCCGGTCTTTGCTCAAAGCCATCCTCCACATCGTTCACGTCTGAGATTGAGAGAAGCTGTTTGCCATTGAACAGAAATCGTAATAATTGATATCAAATCTCGTCTTGCTTCCTTTTGCTTGGCTCTACATCAGGATGTGACGACATACCTAGATGCTACCATTACTCTTCCAGACTCTTGTCTATCCCGTGCACCTCGCTGCTCATGACGATTCAACATTGGCAAACAAAAAGTTGGGTGCACCCGGTACCGCGCCTTCGGCGTTGGGCGCGAGGCTCTCCTCCACAGCCCCGGTCACCAGATCAGTGCCCTTCTTGCCACCCTCCTCCACTGCAATAATCTTCACCTCGACCAGGTTGGCACTACGCTTGAGACCCTCAATCATGTCCACGAGCACGGCCTTCTCGTCAAATGCCAGCTTGCGCTCGAGGACAGCGCTCGCGGGCTCGCCCATCTGCAGACGTCTCTTGAGACCCTGAACGAACGGCATAGCCTTCTTCATCTCGCCCATCTTGGAGATCTTACCGTTGAGCGCCTTATCATCCACTGACTTGGTCTCAGGGTTCCACATCTCCTTCAACAGGTCAATGTAGGCCTGCTGCCACTGCGGGAACTTTTCGCTCATAAAGATGGTGAGCTTCTTGGGCTTCTTGGGGTCAAACGACGTCTCCTTGCCCTTAGCCTTCTTCTTGAGCTGCAGGGACTCGGCAGAGTTGACGTTGGAAGCCGTCACCGAAATGTACTTTCTCGCCGCCGTAAGAGCCGCATCCGTCTCCGGAATCTCGGGGAATGTCGCCTGCTGGATAGATGTAGGCTTGCCGAGGATCTCAACCCAGACTGACTCGGACCAATGGGGCGCGATGACAGCGAGGAGAAGAGCCTGGAGCTCAATGTAGCGCAGGACCAAGTCGACGTGCATCTTGGACAAGGCACTGCTCTCGCGGTAGAAGGAAAGAGCGTTGTTGAAGCTGTTCACATGCGTCAGAAATGCAAGGCATCTTAGTAGGTATCTAAGCTTACTCGTAGAAAGCCGCCTTCAGGGCCAGCTTGTAGGCAGTCTCGGAGTACTGGTGGATGGCCTCCTTGGCAATAACGTTCATCTCGTTGTTGAATACCTTGTCGAAGAAGTTGTACTCGCCCGTGCGGAGCTCGCTCTTGTTCTTGACGACATCGTCGCACCATTCTGCTGTTATTAGTATAACGATCGCAGTATGAAGAAACAAACATACCTCTGAGAGTGTGGAGACGGAGAATAGCCTGGTTAGCAACATCCTCCTCAAAGTTGCTGTCTCCGTTGGTGTCACCGGCATCGGCCAAACCGATACGGGCAGCGTCGGCACCGAACTTGCGAGCAACATCCTGCAGGGTCATAAAGTTACCGGTCGACTTGCTCATCTTCTCGCCGTTAAGCATCAGGTGACCGTTGGTACGGATACCCTTGGGCCAGTACTCGGGGCTGAAGATGGCGAGATGGATGTAGAGGAAGAAGGTCAAGTGGTTGCCAATCAGATCCTTTCCAGAGCTGCGAAGGTCGAGAGGGTAAAAGTACTCGAATGAGCGGCGCATGCTCTCAAGAGTCTCCTTGGGAATCTTGCACTCGGCGAGGAGCTTGTCGTCAAGCTCGCGGCGGCAGAAGACGTAGTCCCAAACCTCATCCTTCATCTGCTCGGGAGCAATGGCACCAGTACCCTGCTCTCTGCCAAAGATGTCCTTGTGGAGGTAGGGGGCAATGGTGTAGTATGCCATGTAGATGGTGCTGTCACTGAGAGACTCGACGAGGAACTGAGGGTCCCAAGGCAGCTTGGAACCAAGACCATATGATCTGGCACAAGCCCACTGGTTAAGCCAGTTGAGGACACCCTGGAAAGCGTTCTTGGTCTCAGGGCTGAATGTGTTCAGGCCCTTGCCATCGGTGTTCTCAACCCAGTCAAGGGCGGTCTTCTTCCAGGACTCTTCACCGTAGTCAAGGTACCACTGGTCCATCAGAGAGACGATGCAGTCATCTGCGGAACGACTGACGACCTTGCGCTCGGGCTCGGAGTAGACGAACGCGAGCCCCTGGTCAATGAGTGATTGGCGGACCTTCGGCTTGGCGGACTCGACAGACTCGCCCTTGAACTCGCCAATGTTCATGGTTCCCTTGTAGAAACCCTCAGAGTAAGCCGTCTCCTTAGCCTTGTCAAGCTGAACAGTGTCCTTGGGAGAGGCAATCTTCAACTGCTCGACCAAGGTCTTGGCAATCATGTCACCGGAAGGAGTGTTGATGATGGAGATGATCTCAAGCTCAGCCCACTCCTGCTCGATGCCATAGTAGGCGGCCTTCTTGCGGAGATCCATGGTCATGACCCAATCGGCAGGACTGTCCGAGGGAACGGATGTGACGACACCAGTACCTTTCTGCGAACTGTTAGAGATGTACTGCTCAATGCGAAAATAAGAAGACGTACAGTGGGCAGGATAGACTCCATGGGAAGAACGCGAACGCCGTCCTTGTGGACGGAGAAGGGTGCGTTGACGCGAGTACCGATAAGGGCGGAACCGTCAATCTTGGCAGTCTCGTCAACAACTCCCTCGGCGAGGAAGAGACCTTGGTAGGCCATGTTGCGGGCGGCACGCTCAGTCATGACATAGTAGTCCTTCTCGGTAGCCTTGAAGACACCGTAGGTGATCTTGGGAGACACGAAAACGGCGTTCTGGCCGTACATCGTCTCGGGACGGAGGGTGGCGGGAATGAGAAAGACATTCGCATCGGCGGGAAGCTGAGACTTAAGGGCCTCCTCGGCCTTGGGGGCCCACTCGAGGACCTTCATCTTCAAGCCAGTGTACTCCTGGGGGCCAACTCCTTCGCCCTCAGCTCGGTCGTGATCCATGCAGGGCTGGCCATCCTTAATCGAGTAGATGGTGTATCTCTTGCCGAACTTGATCTTATTGAGCTCCTTAAGGCGGATCATCTGCCAGCGAACGAAAGCATCAAAGTACGGGTTAGCCTCGGTGGTGATGAATGATCTACGCCAGTCTGATATCGATTAGCTAAGTCGTTGCGATGACCATTCGACTTGGAACTGACCGATTCTGAAGCCAAGGCTTGTAAGATCCTCCTGAGCCAGAGGGGGGAAGAAGTCCAGCCAGTACGATGCGTCGGCAAAGAGGTGAATCTCTTGTCTCGGAATGCCCATGGCCTCCATGATTTGGAACTGTTTGTCTGTCAGTGATGTGCAACGTGGAACCGAGATAACCGATGCATACCTGGTACTTGGCCTTGATAGTCTTGGCATTGGCCTTGCTCTTCTTGGTGGAGAACTTGGTAATGTCTTCGCGGGCCTCCTTAGCATCAGTAGGCTTCTCGTCCACGACAACCTCCTCCTCCTTGTAGCCCTCGAAATCGCGGCCGAACCAGGCAACCTCGTTCTTGAGCTTGTCGGCAACGGCCTTGATGGGCATACCGGTCGCGTGCCATCCCATAGGAAACAGAGCACGCTTCCCCTGCATACGAGCGACCTAGAACAATCCATTAGCTCCACCCTTATTGCATTATCGCGAGAGTTCTCTTACACCGGCGGCGAATTCGACCTTGCTCACGGAGAACAAGTGACCGGCGTGAAGACGACCGTTCATGTAGGGAAAGGCCATGCATCCCATCCTATTTACCCGTCAGCCTCCATTTCTCAATTCCTATCCAATTGCGCCATACCATTTGGGCTGTTGCTCGCGCAGCTCGGCGGCGGTAATGGAGTGCAGGGGAACCTCCTTGGTGGAGGGAGCGTCGACCTCGAAGATCTTGTCCTCGGACCACTTTCGCTGGTACTTCTTCTCTAGAGAGATCAAAAAGTCACGCTTCTCGGTTCCCTTGAGCTCCTTGGTCTTGGAAACCTGAAGGGCCTCGAGGGCCTTGGCAGCCTCGTTGGCCATGATTGCGGGTTCTCGTTCGATTCGGTCAGGAATTGTCGGGGAAGGCAAATACGCAAGGCCAATTCCAGGACCAATGCGTATTATATGATTCGACGGTGACTCTTGCGCCGAAAACTGAGAGTCACGCTCGATATCGCGTTGTCGCTGGTGCTCCTTCGAGATAGTCGCTGGCGAGGATACTGAGTCACAGATCCAAACGTGGGGGAGATTTCGTCGCAGCTCCGATGTTTTTTTCGAGGCTGTGCCCCGCGATGGCTTTGGTGGTTATGGCGGGGTACTGTCGGGTCAGTGGTCACTCTCCGATGTTTGGAGTGCTGTGGCGGTTGAGTCCCTTGTGAAGTACGTACCGCTCAATCTCTGGTCGCTGGCCGCCTTGTAGGTGTGGCTGGTGCAGCCTGGGCTCTCGCTCGTGGCGCGAAATGTGGCTGAGAAACATGGTGAGCTTCTCCAGTCGCGCAGAGACCTGTAGACATACCCTCGAGATCCGCCTTGTACATGTCATCCCCGGAACTACCTTCTGCAATTCAAGCCAATTAATCCACAACCAAAGCTCGAATACATCGAAGATGCTTCCTACAATCGTTCGGCGAGCGGCTGAAGCAGCTGGCTCCAAATTCACAGTCTTCACCAACCCGTATCGAACCAAAAAAGTCTGGCCTCCCAACTTCACGAACCTGTCCCCTCAGTCACAACTGCGATTTGAGAAGAAGTACAAGAGACGCCTAGCATTAGTTTATGCGCGACCGAGATGGAACAAGGCTGTCAAGCTTGCGCAGTTGGCAACTGTTATTGGTTCGTGAAGCCCTCATAGCGACTGCTTGCGCTCTATGCTAACTTGCTCTAGGATTCCTTGGCTGGACATTTTTCTTCTCCGAGCTCGAGTTCTTTGGCAAGGAATACAGGCCGTCAGAAGAGGTATATGGCTTTGTCGCTTCCAGTCCCGACTGATGCTAACCATTCCGTCCAGATCCGAAAGCGTGTGCGCGGTCTGTTTGGCACAATCGAGTCTGACAAGCGATACGAACGTCGCAGAGATGCGCCCGAAGCACCCGCTCCCATCGAGACCCCCAAATAGACAGATTCTCGGCCGACAACACTGTACCAGCATAGGGAGGAGTTTATGGCGTTTTGAATACCCGGCACAGAAGCCCATGTATAACATATTGTTCGAAAACAGAATCATGTTCCTCTCAGACAGGAGGCCGCCCACCTTACCGTCCATGCCAGACAAAGTTACCTCCCATACTCAGTCCGCCTCCCAGTCCGGCGCTGCGTCCTTCGTTTACAGGTCTCTTGGCCACAGTGCCTTGTGCGCGCACGCCAGAGACAATGCGATCTAGATTCGTCTCGATGACCACTCCTCCCACAATCATCTCGCCGAGCGTTGAGTGTAGCGTTTCGAAGTTGAAGATGAGATCAAGCTCGCAAACGTTCTCAAACAGCTTATCGAGCGCCTCGACGTAGACTTGGATCAAATCGATCAGGGCAAGTGGTGACTCTGTCGAGGTCGAGATGACAATGAAGTACAGGGTCGCATAGTTACGGTATGTAACCAGGGAGGGAACGTCGTTCTCTTCTTCCGATGATGAATGTGAGGTGCCCGAGGCAGCGAGCAGGGGAGGGAGCGGGAGAAAGTTGCAAGACCCAGCCGGTCGATTCGATACGAGGGTGAATATTTCGGAAATCAGGCGCTGCTGCATGCTCGTTTCCTGAGTAAATGTGCAAGTCAGCGATGCCAGCTTTCGTTCAGTAGTGCATGCCCAAGCATACCAACTGTGTGTAGAACTTGGTCAACCGGGGCTGACCCTGGCCATTGAAGACCAGAAAGGCGTTGATCATTGTGTTCTCCCTTGACTGAGCATCCCGAGTTGGCTAAAGTTGTCGATACCAGGGCGTGGGTTCGCCAGTGATGTCTATGTTCAATGCGACTGGGTGATAGTGCCCGCTAGACACTACATGCGCTTCGCGGCGTTCTGGCTTTGGTGGGGTCAGACCGCTGCCAGCCGCCCAACCGTCTCCCACCAGCCAGCAGAGAGAAGCTCGAGGTGCACGGCTCGCAACTGCACATGACTTTCTGATGTAATCATATCTGCCCGGATCTCCTCCTGGCCCAAGCTCGGTTCCTTCCCTTGACCGCGGATCGAAGCTGGTCCTGCAGCTTCCGTCACACCTGCAGCAAACGTGGGGAAGCAACGGAGCTGCCTTTGACCTGCCGTCTTTTACGAAGCAAATCAGTCACCTCTTCGATTCGCTAATCGACGACGACCACCCGAACTCCTCTTCTTTCACTTACGCTGACCACTTGACGCCCCAATCCCTCAGCATCACCAAACTCAAATCTCTCCCAATCGCTTATCACCACCTACGCCCAGCTACCATGGCTCGCAACAGCATCACCAAGCTCACCGGCGCCGCCGCCCGCACCCTCCGTGCCTCCTCGCAAGCCCGCTTGGCCGTACCGCGTCGTTCTGCCCTGCTTCTCGCAGCCTCAAAACCTACCGTGTCTGCCATTTCGGCTCGCAAGCTCTTCACAACTTCATCAATCGCCCATCGTGGCATTATGCCCGACACCGATGACCCTCAAGTCAAGGATACGCCCAAGGAGGAGGTCAAGATGAGCGTCGTCGAGCTTACAGATGCCGAGTACCACGAGCTGTCCGAGACCTACCTTGACAACATTGTCACTCGTCTCGAGGAGATAGCAGATGCTCGCGAGGGAGTCGATGTCGAGTATGCTGTAAGTTGACAGACTGAATTTAACTTTTCAGTCCTTGTATCCACTGTCGCCTTTTGCGAAGCTCAGGATTTGTGTCCCGTAACCAAGCAACGAATCACTAATTCTTACGGATGCAGGCTGGAGTTTTGACGGTTACTTTTCCGGAATCTGGCACCTACGTGATCAACAAGCAGCCCCCGAACAAGCAAATCTGGCTCTCATCGCCCGTGTCCGGCCCCAAGCGCTACGACTGGGTCGTCGTCGGCGACTCGCAGAATGACAAGGAGGGTACTGCTGCTGGAGCCTGGATCTACACCCGTGATGGCAGCAGCCTGGACGATGTCTTCCTCAAGGAGCTCGACATTGACTTCAGCATAGCTCCATCGACCTACGGCGAGAACCAGTCCTAGTTGGGCAAAAGTGGTCCAACAATCGAGGACGATGTTCACAAGCTTTGATCTCATGCGAAGGCAGAGACCATTTCATTTCTTATTCATATGGGTGTGAGCAAAGCATCAAGCTCTTGAGTGTATTCTACATGGCAACAGGGAGTTCGTAAGGTGGTTTCAGGGATGGGAGGCAAGTAAGCTGCCCAAGGGGAGAAAGCGATGCCGAAAGGTCGATATCTAGGCCTGTGTACACAAACTTCGTACAGCAAGTGCTCAATCGTGCAGTCCATCTCAGGTTTGCATTGAGGCTAGCGAGTCCTGTATTGAACAGGGTCTCAATTGTGACCTAATAACGCGATGTGACTGAAGCTGCGTGAATGTTTTGGTATCCATATTGATCTATTTACGGTAGAAACATATTCCCGTTTACTTTCTCATCCACATTGGTTTGGCCGTAAGAATTGTTAGACCGCCCACCGTTGCCTTGCTCCAAAGCCCCTCGCTCTCTTTGACGTATTACACCACTATTCATCATACTTCATAGCAACAGTGTCTTTTGCGGCGGGAGTCTTCCTCTCAGAGTCCAACTCTTTGGTAATAATGCTTAAGCGAAAGTATGGCTTAGCGAGGGTATCGTGGGTCTCATTTCCAATTTCGTTCATCAGACTCGGCAAGGCGCCATCCATTTCGCGCCCTCGTCCTCTTAGCAATTCCGGCAGCTATCCCGTCTCCCCACCCTATTCTGGGGGAAGTTTGGTGTTACGCAGGCATTTCGTGTCGCTCAACGGGAGCAGGGAGTTCCACGGGCGGGCCTTCACGTGTCTCGGGCATCTCGTGTACCACACGCGGCGCCGGCAGTTCAACCGTCTCCCCCGTGTTCTGCGCCATCATCATAGCCGCGTCGTCGGGCTTCTCCGGATCCTCCATGACGGTGTCGAGCGCCTCATCGCGCGCGGCGAGCTTCCGGGCCCTCCTCCTGTTCCAGAACCAGACGAGGGCGACGACGAAGAAGACGAGACCCGAGGTGGCGCCGACAGTGATGCCAATGATTTGTCCCGGGGCGAGGCCGGACTGCTGGAGTATGTTGTCCGGGAAGGGCGACGAGTCCGAGGTGGTGCCGCCCGTGGGCGTGGGCGTGAATGTGACTGTTCTCCCCCCTTCTGTGACGGTCACGGCGGTCGGGACCGTGAAGCCAGGACCGAACCTGGATGTTGGGAATGGGAGCGACATGCTGGGCCGCACAAATGTAAAGGACGGGAATGGCTGCGCCAGCTTGGAGAAGCTGGTGTGGGTTGTTTGTTTAAAAAGTGGGAAGACGGAGGAGGATTCATCAGAAAGGATAACAAAGTGAAAAGCTAAGCTTTGCGAAACTTTTGCCCCAATCCTTTGCCGATTCCTTCTTTCCGGCATCCAAGAGAACGAGCTTCATGGTGTCATCGGCGCGGGAGGCGCAGACCTTTTTGATAAAGTCCCCATGTCAAGTCCGACGGCCATGGCGTAGATTCCCTGGCGTTCCTGGCGCCCATCCCTTGATGGGGGTGTAGCATATGCAGGAGGAATAAGGTACAGGAGAGAGAGAGAGACAGCGAGGTGTGAGGTGAAGTGAGGTAAAGGTGCGCGATGGGCGTGTGGTGGTGGTTGAGCGCCGCACCGACTCCCGGGCGTTCTGGCGTAGTGTGAGACGAGGGGACCAACGTCAGATCGCAGAGGCCGTGTGTTCTTTTGATCTCCGGTTGATGTACGCCACTTTCCCTCCCACCCAATTTTCCAAGACATTTAAAAACCTCTGAGCCCCATCCTCAATATCCCACCCAGTCCCGGATACCCGACGTGCCCGGGGTGTGGACGAAATTGGCGCGTTTGGCCAAGGCAACGACTGCAGCCCAGCAGCTGCACTCTGCTCTGCGACTGCGACTGCGACGGATTCATCGTTTTCTGTCGGTGGACGTCGGTGGCAGATGGCGCGTTGGGAATGTTTCGGACTTTGACATACTGTTTACTTAGCTCTCTCGGCATCGGCGCAAAGCCCGAAGTTGAGATGGGGCGCGCGCACCCGCATCCGCACACTGTTCATTCCATCTTGTCTAGAGTTCGCTTGCTTGTTTGCCGTGTTGGAGTTCTTCCAGATACCGGTTTTTCTGGTTGGCTCTGCTTTTTCCTTCTGCCCTGCCCGCCACCGGCTACATCGGCCGGGGTTGGATGACTACAGACTTGCAGTTCTTAAAACCGATCTGTTTCTTCCTTCTCATGCAGGAGAGAAGCTCCCTGTGTAGCTTATTGTGCACAAGGTTGTTTTCGTTGCATCAGTGGTCAGGAAGTGGAGGATATTGTCCGGTACGTTTGTGCCTTGCTTCCTTGCCTCAACCTCTCAGCCTGCATGCACCTCGAGCACTGCTTGAGGGAAGGCCAGCCATTCTGACCAGTAATCTCCTAAATGCGCCGAGACGGAGCGGATGATCCACTGGCCAGCGTCTCCAAAGATCCAGTAACTGCGGCACCAGTGAAGGAGGACAGCGTAGAAGGCGAGGATGACGAGGGCTTCCGGGCGGCGCTGCTTAACGACGTCGATGAAGCCTGTTGTGACGCGGACTCCGAAGGCCATGACGGAGGCGGATTGGTGGCTGGATTTCATGGCAATGCTGCGGTAGATGGAGTACGACTGCCGTAAAGCCTCTGTTGCATCACGGCAGGCTTGGAGGGAGACGGGGCCGAGATCGGCTTGGTCGAGCATACTGTGAAGGATGTCGACTTCGGAGCGCTCGTTCGGGTCGGGCTTATTAGATTCCAGGAAGTCGATAAAGGGCTTGCAACCGGATTCGCGGATGATGTGCCAGGAACGGCCGGTGACGGTGCTAACGCCGCGGTGAAGATTGAGGTACCAGGCGAATTGGTCGAGAAATCCGTTGAAGTCGCTACGGTAGCTGCGGAGGGTATCGCAGAGGACCTGAGTTCCGAGGCAGGATGCGAAGAGGAACATTGGGATGCAGGTGTCATCGTCGATTTCCTCCTTGGCGTCGTTGAACAACATGAGAGCGCGGGTCTGGAGCTGGGTTGCCTCATGCTGGTAGAAATCAGCGCGTTGGGGATTCAGCTCGGCCATGTGCTGGGCAGAAAGACCAAGGAGGACGTCCATGAGGTAAGGGGCGTGGAGGGCAGCCTCGAGGTTCATATCAACCAAGGGTTTCATAAATACGTCTGCGGCCATGAAGGTGCCCATACTGGTTTCTAGGTGGTGGAGGAGGCGCATGTGTTCGAGGGTGAAGAATTGGCCGTTAGGGGGGCTCGGTACGCCGCGGTCATCTTCGGTGCGCATGACAAAGTCGTTTACGACTGTGGTGATGGATGGCGAGGTTGCAAAGGCAGCCGCTGTTGCGGCGGCGGAGGCGCCATTGCCATTACTGCCGGAGCTGCCCGCTGGGCTGGCGACGAGAGCGGCGGCTGCGGCTGCTCGCTTGGCGGCCGGGCCAGAGGAGACGGCGGAAGAGCGAGCCGATGCCGGAAGGGAGTCGAGGTAGGAGCAGTGTCGCTCAGCTGTTGCGCAGTTGACGCAGGTCGGGCGTGTTTCGTCGCATTTCACGTGGCGGCGCTTGCATTCTTTGCATCCGTTGCGAGATTTCCGGTGGGCTCGGCGAAGTTTGACGTCGCCTGCTGCTGCGGCCGATGCCGATGCTCCTCCCGGTGTACTGACGTCGCCGTTTGTCGAGCCGGTGCCGGGGGCGGGAGAGTTGCTGCGTGAGATGTCCATCATTCTCCAGGTACCTCGAGGTTGATTTGTCTCGGCCGGTGGGATGAAAGCGATGTGGAGGGTGGGTAGATTCAAGGTGAGTGGTTTGCCATGGGGCCTTTTCGACGTGTAGCAAAGCAGGTAAGACGTGGTGTCTGTGGCCGGCAAACGACGAGGGCCTTCCTTTTGTGTTGAAGAACGCGAAAGGAAATGACAATGGACGAGAGAAAGAAAAAAGGGAAGTGTTTGAATTCGAGGAATGATTTTGAGGGATGCGAACCCGAGGGAAGCTCAGCCTTTTTTTGGTGGGGGGAGGGGGAAAGAAAAGATGACCTACGAAGATACTCCGTAGCTTGAATGGATAAGCTCAGGTCAGTCCAGTTAAGGTAGGAATGGTACCTGGCACCACTTGGGAAGGTACACAGTACAGCGTGCCTACCTGCTCTAGAGACGAAGTACAGACTACAGACGGGAGTCACAAAAGTAAAGTAAGGAAGACACTACTGAATATGCCTACCTTCCCACTAGTTTCGTACAGGGGTGCGGCATCTACCGCGCTCCAACATGACTTCAGCGGGTCTAAGGGCCACCGGTGGACGTTAATACGGGGAAGCAAGTTATGGAACTGAGGGAAGGGGCCATTAGGAGGGTCTGCTACAGGGGCTACTCTGCAGCTCAATGCACCCAAAAATTCCTAAACAGGACCTTTAGGGGAGCAATGGAAGGTCGATGGACGCTGCGCCAACCAAGTCCACGCGGCCCCTTCCCCCTAAATCTTTATGATAGTGTGGACAGGTGCGCCCACCCACCTGCGTGCCTTCCTTAAAAATGCCCACGCGGTTGTATTAGTAACCACCCTGTAAAACATCTCCGATCCAATGACATCGTCAAGGAAGCCAATTACGCCGGAAATGGCCCGGTTAAATGATCCAGACCTAGAGAAGCTAATCGTCAACACGATGAAATACATGTGTTCAGTCCCGTTAACAAACATGGACATGCAGGAGTTGTTAGTCGGTTCGTCAAAGTGAGGAAACCATACACCAAGGATTTCGGGCCAACGGTTTGCACAACATTTTCCTCATTTATCATTCTAGTGCGTCTAAAGTGCTAAATACTAAGCCAAGGCAGGACACCCGGCTTTCCGCGGTTGATACCTTAGCCCTCCGCCCATCGCTATTATTCTGGAAAATCCAGCGTTGTCTCCGCTGACCTGAATCGTTCAACTCCTCGGAACGATGATCGTGACATGGATCACTGGCCTTCAAACTCCGCCATGTCTCTCTGTCTTCCATTCCCAACAATTACACTAACAATACTCCGTAGGTGTGCGCTCGCTGAGCATCCCCAATGCGAGCCTCCACACGCAATTTCCGCCGGACGAAAAATCAAAGAGAAAAAGGCACTCTAAATTTCTTCTCTATCGCATGGTCTTGCGCATAGAGCCGGGCTGGTGCTGCTCACTCTCCACCGCCAAGTCATAGTTCTCCACATCCGAAGCCGACTGCGAACCGCCCTTGCGGATCTGGAACGCCGAAGGGAACCGGAACCCGAAGGCCACCATGACGAAGAACATGAGCGTGGCGTCGAAGACGTACAGGGTCCACTCGTGACGGAGCGGGTATCCGTCGCCGCCGAGGACGTACTCGATGAGACGGAAGATGGATCGGACCATGATGCACGCGCTGACAATGTAGAGCATCCACAGGCCCGACTTCCAAGGCGAGTGACCCGCCAGGGACGCCTGGGTAGGGTTCTTTGCGAGGCGCGAGTGGAAGACGATGGCGGTGACCCAGAAGATGGCGAAGAGCACAATCTGGATGACAAGGCCGGCGACAATAAGGTTCTGTCCCATCTTTTGGCTGCCGTTCTTGACCATGAGACCGCCACCGCTGGCCTGGACGAGGAAGGAGAAGCAGTCGCCGGTGACGAAGATGCGGGTGAGCCAGTTGATGCGGACCACCGACAGGGACTCGCCGTGGACGCTGCGGATGATGCGGCCGAGGGTCATGTAGACGGATGCCGCGAAGAGGGCGGGCGCGATGAGGATCGTGAGGGATTGCATCACGTAGGGTCCGACTTCGCCGGTGCGGTCGCGTGCAATGGCTCTGCCTGCATATCCGATAATTTCGACTGGATAGGAGATTTCAATGTCAGTCCAGGGTCTTGATACAAGGTAACAATTGGAAGGTCGAAATTGGTCACGTACGGATACCGCCTATCACAAAGACGATGCAGAACCACGTCTTTGTCCTGGCAATCTTGTACGCGTGGAAGAGCGTCGCGAGGACGAAGAGGACCTCGAAGATGATGGCGGCGACCAGACTGGGCACATAGTGCCAGAGGTAGTAGCCGTTGTAGGACTCGAGGGTAGGCATCTTGTCAAAGTCTTGAGGATTGCCAGGAATCGGTTATCAGTAGTTGGTTTGTCCTCCACCTTTTCCCCGTTCCCTGCCTGTTGTTGTGGGCTGTGATTTTTTCGTGGTATTTGATCGCGAGATTAGACTTGCTTCAAATATTGGCGTCCGATGGAAAAGAAAGGACTGCTGATTTGCTGTTGTCGATGGAAATCTCGTCCTAGGACCTCGTTGGTGTTGACGTTGTTGCTGGATATGTTGCCAAGGGCCAAGGGGGTGTCTCGAAGTTGTAGTCCATCTTTATAGCGTCCCCAAGGATGGGAGATGGGGGTGGTTGGAACTTGAGTTTGCTGCTGCGGCCACCGTATACGCGAACTCTCGAATAAAGTCTCTTTGACGGCATCTCCATACGCGTTTGTCGTGAACAACAGACAAAGAGTCTAGATGTGTCTGACTATCAACGTGTGAGATCCAAGCTTCGCTGGTATCCACAGGTGGGGTCTGAGTCTTCCCCATAAGGATGTATACGTGGATCAATTGAGTCGTGATTGGCTCGTGTGTCCCACTCCCCTGCTAGCCCTGTGGGTGGATCTCACTACATATTCCTTTCGGTCGACGAATCACGTCCCATCCCATACGCGTACAGAGATTTTGGCCGTGATGTTTTTGCAATCACAGAGGCTGAGGGAGGCATGCCGGGACTCGTCACCCCACCACCCCTCTGACATTCAATCTCTTTCACATTTGTACGGATATCAGAGTGTGAAGTCCTACCCAATCCAACTTGCCGTCGTTCGTCTGATGCAGGGACAAAGCCACGCCGATAAGGAACATCCCGTTCGGCAAGCTTACGTACCTCATGCAACCCCCCTTCCAGTCTTTGGAAGAGGCTGCATTTACGTGTATTTTTCCCCAGCAAAACTTGCAACACTGTCACCAAACACGAGGAAACTCTGAGTGTGGCTTGGCCAACAGAAAAAGTCCCATCAAACAGCTCCACGGAAACGGCGGCGATCGTGGAGCCATGCATACTTCGTAAAATCACCTGGCCGTCAACCTTGTCTCTCCATCTACTCTGCGCAATCATTTCGCTCTTCGCATTCACAATTTTGACTTCTGCGC